CCTTGGAGCTGAGAATGGTACCTACACCAGCTTGACCCGTGAGTGCCGCATCGGCGTCTCCGGATGCGTGCAACCAATAACGAGAGGATAAGCCGGGTGCAGTCAATTCAATAACCCCGTTAGGGTCATTGATCCTAGTTTCGGACACACAACACACATCAATACCCAGTGTGTCTAAGGTGCGTGCGAGTGCGGCCTGCTGACCTGTTTGTCTTAGAGTGCGGACGTTGAATGTCGCCATGGAAACGGAACAGCGTGGTCTTATAAGGGACTTTTGCCGATAGGCGTCCGATAGGTGCTGTGGGATGGTGGCTGCAGATGGTTCTACTCCAGTAGCACTTCGGTTGCTGTCAATTAAGCTGGGAATTATAGAAGGAAGGTTAGTAATGGGAGCCGGGATGGGAGTAAGAGAAAAAGGTGGAAAAGAAAGAAGGGAGGCGCCAGCAGTAGCATGTTTTCGCTTATCCGCCGTGCTGTATGCAGCAGATAAGGCGACCCTTGATAATCTGCGCGACGGCCGATGCAGGATGAAGTTTATGTTTGAAGAAAATGTCATGGTTGTATGTGGGCTGAGATACTGCCAGGGAGCCCAGACCTAGACAGGAGGACGATTAGGGTCCTCATCCAAAGCATTTGGCTCAAAAGCCTGTCCGCAAGGCAACGGGGTGGCAGTGATTTAGTTTTACAGAAATGGACGCCATCCCATTTCAAACCCCCAACCTGGAGGACCAGGAGACTGAGTTTGTCTGACCTCTCACCATTGACCAACCTGGTAGGAGTAGCTCTCAAGATGCTCGGAGGCATCACCCAGTATAGCTCAATGGGTCAATGAGGTACGCAAACCGTCGCACCACGTTAAGGTCCAGTCTCGTTGCGACGGACAGCATGAAGTTGCTGGAATACAATGCCTCTCCAGGATGAAGCAAGGGGCAGTGACTTTATTTAGTGGCTAGTCACGTCCGCCACGTCACAGTGTTGTTAAACGGACGTGTGGCTTTTTATAGGGAGAACGCTTGCCAGGCGAAAACCCACCACGTCCTGGAACACTGCCGCCGAACCATTTGCTGGAACGGGAAAATCCCGAACCACCCAGCTGGCACCACGAGGAGGTTGTTCGGCAAATGGTGGTAGGTCGATTCAAGCCATCGAACTCAGCATGCAGTTCAACAATCCCTACCGATAGCCTAAGTGTGCAATAAGAAGTAAGTTTAGTTAGAATTTTACACAGACTGCTACACTCCATCCCGGTTTCACTATTTTTCCAAATCTTTGGAACCCTTTTGGATACAGGCAACGATACCAGCGCAATTACACAACTTTCAGAATGTCCCGACTAAATTTTAAGCCTGCATATCCGATATATAACCAGCCGCTGTTATTTGAATCACCAGGCTCTTTAGCTTGTATTTCAGATAGTTTAAAGCATTGCTCGCACGTTCCCAGCAGCAACAGTCGTTTCTATATTACGCGTTTTAACTATCCATAGACGATTTGCATGTTTAGTCTTTGATGCAAACTCTTGAGGTATCGTTATATGGATTCCAATGTATAAAGGAGTTTTCTTGGCCGAATCTCAACGATGGATATCACTACAAACACCTGTGGCCAACTAACTTCAAACCCTTACTCAAATCAAAGTGACTTACATTGGTAGGCTGTTGGCATGTATGACATTATTCAACCAATTGGAGAAGTCTGGTGTTATTGCCGATGCGTCCACTTTTAGCCAGCATTGTGACTCCCTAGTACAATGTATGTGAATACTCGGTAGTTATTAATAAAGAAGCTATTTTGATGGCTGTTACCTAAGGTTCTTTAGCTTCTCAAAACACTGTATGGTAGTTGGCATCCAATAGTTCAAAGCACTCCATCCTTACGACGTCTGATATCGAAAGTAGCGGTTGGCCAATCACGGATGAGTCGTCGCCTTAATTCAACGACGATGGTGCTAAGGCGTGAGGTTCTGAATCTCTACTCAACTGTGACGTTGGTTTTGGCTTACTCATCTCCTTAGTTCAAATGATACAACAGTTGCAACACAGCTAACCCACTTAATCGCTCTTGGATATGTTCGGTTCAACTATCCAGTAAGTGTTTCAAAGTCCGAGCTACTCTCCATGTTTGTTAGATTCTATATTCTTCACAGTATCCATTCACAAATCCATACGTTGAATGGGTTAAAAGAGTATTCATGTGCTTCCAATAGCCATGATTTCCACTCCGTTAGCTGCTGCTATCTACCAACTCTCGATCAGAACAGAGCTTTCGAGTCCACCTGCCATTTCCAGAAATTCGCGGATACCACCTTGTTTCCAAATAGGACAACCTTTCCTCAATCAAATTCGTGGAGACCACCAAATTTCATCCTTCTCATACCAGCCTGGTTGTTACTACTTTCCAACTCGGAACAAACGGCACGGCGTTTGCGGACCTTTGCCCCATACCGGCGAGATGAACGCAAGCTACATGGTGCACCCGAACCCAAGTGAAAGTAGAGAATACTAAACTTCAGCACGAGTGCCCAGGTTGCGCAGCCTGCTTATATACCGAGACAGGTGTCATACGATTTGCTCTTAAAATAGTATACACTTAGGTCTAACACGAGAGAAGTTATTATCTACCTCGTGAAAAATGTCAGTTCACATGTGCGGGTGTTTGTGTCAGGCGCAATAGGCGCCGGAGTGTAGTTTTCGAACATTGTGGACATGCGCGTTCCCATAATATTCCTGGCAGCTTGTTTTATTGCTTATCCGTGCTGAGCATACTAGGGGAACTACTTTCTATTCTGGAATCTCTATACCATGACCCCCTAAGCCGCGAGATAGTCTACTGGAAGATATTTCCAGAATTGCCCACAATAAGCGGGATTTGCCAGCTTTGTCGTGTATTTCATACCATTTTTTTATTTTGTAACCGAAACGAGACCCTGTCATCTCTCCTTTTTCAAAGTGGCAGTTCTGCGGGTGATCGGTTGGTATGTGGCGTCCACCATGTAATGCGCAACTAACCTTTCCTAATCTGCCTCCTCATCACACACTTCAGCTAATTGTGCCGCAGTACAAAAGATAAGATATATGAGAAAGCGAGATACTAAACATTACATAATACAAAACTGAAGAGCATATGATATAATGCTAGGTGTAATATTACCCATGCAGTGTGAGATCGTTGTTGAGGGGGGGGGGAGCTAAGCGAGAAGAGAAGGGACATAAACGCCATTAAAACTGTCTTTTCACCACGTCAACTAGTGTATCAGACCAAACGTGTTCATCATCCTGCGGACCGACATCAAGACAGTCGGGAGACACCAACGAACGCCAATTTCGATATGAAGGACTTCATTCCTCTTGACCAAGTCATCGCTTGGTGTCTCTTCCATTCTGACGGCTGTCGCACAAACAGCGCACGTCGCGAGCGTCGGTATGCTGGCATGCACAACAAGTGGTCCAGCCATCGGAGCCTGTTGCGTGATGTAACCGTGCTCCCCCCTGCACCAAATACGCGACACCGAACACGCTCATTGCTCACGCATTGTTCCCACCAGACATAAGCCAAGCCAATCTGCCTAGGTATGGGTCACCTCGTAGTGTCCCTAGCCAGCGCACGACCTACGGTTACGTGGCAGCGTGTCGTCGGTGCAGCATTCCGGCGTACTTCTGATGACTTCTTCAGGTGACCGACTAACAAACCTTGAGCGTGCGAACTACAAAGCTCTCCTTGGGTCGGACCTAGTGCTCATGCAAGCAACAGCGGATAGGTTGTCCCGTTTCGGTATGTGCTTTGCACTTTCGAGATGCATAGGTTGATCCTGGGGATTCGGCAATCTTGGATTGATGTGCACCGCCTGTTGGGGATCTCGTTGTCATTTCGTTCTAAAAAGATCCACTTTTCTATGAACACCTGGTAGATCAGTGCAGACGTTTACGCTAAGAGCGGTGTGGCTGGTTTCGAAAGGATTTGAAAGCCACCAGTTGGTATGTTTGGTGGACAATCTCTCGTTTTTACACAAGCTTTGTCAGTCCACCTGAACTAGCAGATGACTGCTGTATCTAGCAAACTAAGATTACTCGCGACGATCAGGATCTAAGTAGGAGGGCAATCACGTTACTAGTATCATTTCAAAGGGTACATTCAAGATGGAAGGATCTCATTTGGTTTACAGTACGAGGTTCCTGAAATTCATGGGGTTAGGATGTTCTGGTGTTCCCTCTTCTTCTCGGACTATTCCACTGGTGTTATTCAGACTGGGCTGGTAAAGACATTTCGCCACACATTCGACAGTGTTACTCTTTCAATTCTGTTCACGTAGCTATTGGTTTCACCTATTTCCGCTACCTCAGCGGTCATCTTTTGGGGGTGTTAATAGGAACTTCCTCCCAATGATGTTGACATACCGCGTGTCTAGCGCGTGTGTCAATACCACGGAATCCTTTAGTGAAGCACTGTATTCAGGCTCGTGCTTCGGCGCCGTTACGTGCGCCTCGTATTCTACATCTCTATTATCTGAAACCTTATCAATTGAAAATCACACGGGTTCTTGCATACTCGCAATCAATCGTTTCATGACAGCGGTATAGATTCCCGAGAAACAACCAACTCAGGTTTTAAACATTTTTGTCGAGTTTCCACAGTAGTTGTTACCAGGAACTTGTGTTCTCGCTACACGCCTTGAGAACTGGCTGTGAGGAAGTGGGTAGAGCAGTTCAACACGTGGTAGAATGCTTGTTGTGACTACAATGTTCGAAAGACGTACGTTCCGTAGCCTCGAGCATTTCCTTAATGCGTTTGGGCTCTACATTGCAGCTCTTTCCCACGTCAGTCGTTGTTTTCTCTTTCGATGGTTCTATGGCGTCGAAATGCCAGTACAAAGTTCCCATATACGACTATGGTTTGTTGTATCACAACCCATCTTTTCTTTGTCGCACTAGCATCATTTGCTGCATCTCTTTTGCTCAGGTAGATGTTCTAAAATCAAGTATTCCTCTTACTTTTACTTCCAGCTATGCGATGGCCGTTTGCCGACAGATGGAAAAGGACCGGAGGGTTTGAGAAATCTGAGGGTAAGAAGACCAGAAAACGTCACACGAGAGCCCGTCTAATCGATCTGCTGTGCAACCTAAAAGGAAGAACCATTATGCCCGATTCGCCCATCCACAGTGCTCCGTTCGATGACCATCGCTCATTCAGTTCGAACGAGTTCCCGTTTTTTGGACGTCCGTCTATGGATGATATACCGTCTTTTGACTCCTTTTTCGGTTTTCCAAGTCGTCATTTTCCAGCACTTAAACGACCCATTCCACCTCCAACTGCCTTCACGCGTCCGAGATCGTCTTTAGCAACCAAACAGTGCGATGTGTGTCCTACATGTCGAAACATTGTTTATCCCACACCGCGCAAATTTTGTCGCTCTCCTTTTGGTGCAAAACGTATGCGAACTTCCATGATGTTTGCTTCCCCGACCAATTTCGATCCTTTTACGCCTAACTCACGACAAGAGGATCAAATTTCTACCGGACACTTTAATCCAACCTATACTTCAGGTCATTCCGGAGACAGCGATTCCATCTACTCCGACATCGCCGAAAGTGATAACACCGAAGAACAACGCCAGGTGTATCGTCCGAGACTCATTGGAGCACGCCGTCTCGACACCTTCCGAGGAGTCGATATGACGTTAGACAATTGGCTTATGAAGGACAGCGCCGAGACTCACATTCCAGTTGATCCCACATATAGCACTGTTCTCCCAAGTGAATATGAAGTGCCGATTTCAACTTCCGAGTCGGAGGATGCCCCTGGCAATCCTTGCTTGTCTAGCACGTTGAAACGCGGTGTTCGCTCAACAGACGACGGCACTATATATGACGATGTCGCTTCTGATTTGGAAGACGGAATCACTCTCTTCAAACCGGTTAAAACGAAGCGCGGCACTTATCTCCATTGCGCTGATCTCGCATCTTACTTCAACGATCAGGTGAAGCGTGCCCGCCGTGAATATTTCGTTTGCGAAGAATGAACTGAGGTTTTGGTTTTTTACATACATTCGTTTATGTTGTTGGCATTTTTACCACTTTTGTAACGGCATTTAATAGTTTATATTGATATCACAAGTTCCACACTTGTACTGTCTTTCTTAGCCGTATTCGCCCCTATGGCTAACCGGGTTCGTACTATATGAAGTAGACATCGACCGGTTTTGGCGCCTTTGCTCGGTGGCTTCATATCCATGAATGTTATCGTGATGTTCAAAGTTTGTGGCAGGGGTCGAATTTGATTAAACCATTTTCACCACTGTGACACCGAATTCTCTAGTCCAATTCGAATATATACAGTGCTCTTTTTCCGAAAGACTGGGTCTTCTTTCTGGACCCCCGTCTCTGGTTTTATCCTGCTTCAATCATCCTAGTTGATTCTCGATCACTCGGCTCACGCCCACCGTAATTCACAATATCTCAAGATGATCATACGCGTTAGTGCTGCTCGCAGCCGAGCGTGGGCGAATTCACTTATGCCAACTTCCATCTAAATGGTAAATTCGCACATATCCTGCTGCCTGTGTTCAATTTGATGTGCGTCGTATGGATGCAGTCACACGAGGCATGTCAGTGCATTCAGAATTGACTAAATGTGTCGAGACCACTCTGCCCCAGGGTTGATTGTCTGCGAGACGCGCGTTCGACTTGGTCAGTCGCTATGTCATGTTCATTACGCATATCTAGAAAGGTGTCTTTTTTTAGTATGTGAACATTTTGTGTCCTATCGCCGGACATCTCATGCCTCGTCAATGTCTACGATGAATTGCTGAACGCTGTTCTGACAACGAGCGGTGCTCGCTAGTGTTTTCCAATTTCTACCCAATTTTATCGTATTGAGGAGCTACCTAGGAGACGATCTGGTTCGCCTGATCTACACGTACGGCATCATTCCGCGGCGAAGTCAGTTCCGGATAATCTCTCTGGTGTGGTTCTCTCCTTTGACTTACACTTTGTCCCTTCAACATATAGGGTACCGCTCTTGACTCACTTGCTCTCTACTTGTTCTTTGAGTCGTGACGATGATGGTTGAATAATTCCACTGTCTTTACTAACCGCAATTGCAGCGACGGACGCGAAGTTGTTGCAATTGGTTCGCCTATTGCAAAGGCAAGATCTGTCTCCACGAATCTACGACAACCTCGACGCTAGAAGAGCGCTTCTCTTTGACGTTGCACATATAGAGAACCACATTGAGGAGAGCTGTTCACCACTGATTTAGGGAAATTTGGCTGGTTTGGTCTGTAGGCCTTAGATGCCCTACAGATGCTACCTACGAAGCATTGTTCTAGCTGGCTGGGGCTCTATCATTCACAATGCAGAGGTTTGCGAAAATGAGTGCCATGCGGTTAGCCGGATAATTTGACCTGGCACTCGCTCACCGCTTGTAGTGAATGCCGTTGTTTTGTCTAACCTATATTGAATGGCGGTGTGAAGTCGCCTTACCACTAGCCTGAATGTTGTTAGTCCACCTCACTTTCTCGGTCGACTTTCGGGCGACCCACGATGCTTAGATGGAAAAGTTCCAGTACAAACTTCTCAGCCAATATCAACAACATGTTGTTTGTCGTCCTCTAACTCAGCTGTTTGTTTAGTGTGCGTGTGTATGTGTGTAATGCCCAGTTACTTATGGGGCGAGGTTGATGAAGATACGGAGCAGGGAAAGCGAAAGAAATCGTCTCACTGATACCGTCATTTATCACTTAGCCACTATACGGGATATAGTTTCGTTGGCACTTTACTCCTGAAAGGTTTGGTGGCGCAGTTAGATAGTAGCCACACCATGATGAAGAGTGAATAAACTCAGGAAGTGTTTGACGAAAGTGACTGATTGGAACAAGCGGCAGGAGAAATGAACCAATTTATCGAGTGACTAACTCATGGAACTCTCGAGCCTACCCATGATGGAATGAGATTGTCTATGTTGCCTTCTGGTTGATGCTTAAACGTTGCCTCGGAGGCCGCGTTATCGGATAGCTTAGCCGATAATCTGACTAAAGCTATTTGTAGTTTGGCTCAGAAAGTAAACTTCACAGGTGCGAATAACTTAGTTGTATGCTTCTTGGTTCATCAGGATATTAAACGCACTAGGGGACAGGCCATGTTGCACCTAATGTGCATCTACTTGCTACCACGTAGTCACTTGATAAACAAATAAACTTTTGTTTTCCACTATGCGAGATACACATGTAGGCATGATCGGTAAAGTGTATACTTGTGTAGAACGTTGCTCACAGGTGGATCAGGAAAATTGAAAATCAGATCAAATACTAACATTTGGAAGGACAGAAATAGTTAACTGAGGTTAAATGAAGTTCGCTGGCTTTCAACCACTCTCCCGTATACATTAGTACAAAACGACTAACTTACGTAGATGATTGTGGTGACCAACAAAGTACTGTGTCATGTGAAACTTGGACTTTGCTCATATTTTTGGTCTGTTATGGAACGACCGAATGATTCGCTCACCTTCTGTAGAGCCAAGAACCTGTTGATACCTTTACAAAACTCGTGTTCAAGAGTCCAGGCACTTATTCCGGATGTTAGCTTTTTCGGGACTTTGGCATACCTCTTAAGAAGAGTTCGCAGATCTACTGGTTCTGGACTTACATACTACCGCAGAGTACTGTTTTTATTTCGTGTGTTGTAGGCGACTGATTGCATTAATGTCATGCTGAGGTTGGAAACGTGTATATTTTTGCGCAAAATGTTGCAAAATACATGACTAGATTGTGCTTCATGCGTCGTAGCCAGAACAACAGATAAAGCTTGAGCTTATCACCCCTCGTCCAGAATATTCCAGTTTTGAAGAAGTGTTTAGTGAATGTTCTCTACACTTGTTCCAAGGTAATGCAGTCACTCGTTTTTTGAGCCACTGCACACCATTGATCATGCCTGACATGGCGTGCCTCGATGCACTTCGATAATAAACTATTTATCTATTTACTATTCCAACCTGGGTCAGGCAAGTGAAATATAAGAATGAAGTATGGACTCATCTGAATATCATCGCAATCCTCTGCTTTACCCTCGCGGTAACTTGACCTGCTTGTCCACAGAAGTCAAACGAGCATGAATATCGCAGTCCTGTCTCTTGGTGGGTTTCAGATGAGACGAGAAAATATTTAATCAAACTGGATGCTTGGATTTTTAACAGATGATCGACCGTTATCTACTTCAACGCGACGGGAAACGGTTAAAAATGTGTAAGTGATATTTTAAAGAAGCAAAGTGGACCACAAACAATATCACTGGAGCTCCACGGGTGTTTGTTTCCTGGGCTAGGGTCAGAAATGTTCAGCCATTTATCATATGTAGATGTGGGTACAAGCTATTTGTGTTTTCTTTACATAAGCGAAGATTTGGCAGCTGAGCAGTGCTCTATCAATGTGAGCAGATGCATCAAAGTTGCGTACTGGGCACTTAATGAAACACACATGGCGAGTTCAATTATTAGATGCTGATTGGTCGATGCTCCTGTGCGCTATGGTGGGTTTGTAGTGCATCTGAAAACATCCTCTTTCAGTATTTCACAACATTGGGTTTTATTGTTGTTCGAACCTTTCTAACATCAGTTTGTTTTACTGACGACACTTCCGTTTTCACAGAACTGCTGCTTCCGTGCTGTACCGTCCCTTGTCTTTACTGATTCGCTTTCTATTCTTGTAGCCTGTACAATACATGTTGGGTCCAACTGCTTCCAGTTTCTTTACTGTTCCGTATTTGATACGTCTCTTACGTGTCATTGTTACCGACTGATATCCCAGGCACCACCCAACAAGTTCCTCTTAGTCAAAGGAGGAACCTCATCGGTCCATGAAGAGTTGTTTATGGAAGTGCAAAGACAATATACACCGCGAAGTTGTGTGTGTGTGTGCCAAACGTGCTGTAATTTTCGCTGAGTTCACTTCGCCGGATAGACGCTTGTCCCTAAAGTGCTGACTTCTCTGACATTCCCGCCTCTCTTCAGGCTGTTTGGTATCATATGCTATACACTCCGTGCTTTGCTCTACTTCTCTGTCTGTTCCGTAGTGAAATCTAAGTTAACACACCTCATTTCGACAAGGGCCCATTGCCAATGTAGATAGGGAAAGTGCTGAGGGGCTAACATTTCGTTTTGACATAAGTAGGAGACTCACGACGAGATACCTATTTTCGATAATTTTCGTCGGGCATTTACATTTATGAAGAAGACTAAGCAAACAGGGAAGCTAACTGGAGCTCGAGTGATAGTGGTTTGATGGCAATTTAAATAAGGTCAGTGAATCCAATCGATAATTATGTCAATGAAGTCAGGTGGTAGAAGTTACGACACCCGTCTCATGCATACAAATAGACAAACAGCGAACGCAAGAACACAGTGGCTGATGAGGAACAAAACTCACAGTTGGGCCGGGGGTTCTGTCAGTTACGGACAGAATCTTGATCAGGGCCAGGGCAAACTGAGAGCTTGTATTAGCGTCCTTTGCTCGCATAACTCAGGTTGTAATAGCCTAATCGCCAATGTTTTGGCAGTGGTCAGCAGGGGTTTCCTGAGTCCTTTGGGAACGCGTCTCGACACAGTGTAGACCACTTTGAATCCGTCTTCTGTCCGAATCTGACGCCCAGTAGTAATCAGATGCTCGAGGATAGCGCTGTGGACATTCTTAACCGTGACATGTTGTAGAGAGGCAGGACAGTGTTCCGCTATCCTCTTAGACGTCGTATGCCCGAGGTACCTTGCACAACAGGTGCAGGTGAATTGATATAATACAAATGATTCGGAACGAGCCGGCTTTTGATGATGAGCGGAACTGTCTCGGCAAGAATGTGTACTCTAGCAGCTGGATATGTTTGGCTAATTGCTGTCGAGTCTTCTGTTCAGTAACTCGTAGGGGATATCCCCCTTGAAAGGAACCGACAGGAAAACGTCCTTTTTCCTTGCAGTTAGTATTGTTTTAGGGTGATCACAAATGGCAGAATGTCTTGATAAACGAAGCGGGAT